ATTTTTAATTCCTGCCTCCAGTACGCCCATTCCCACATGCCTGGGTTTAAGCCGAAGTCAAACTCGAGCCTAAATCGCCGTCTTAACCTCCTCGGTGTCCCTTGGTGGTGTTTGAACCCGGAATATTCCCGATCATCTCAGTATCCATTGATTTTACTCCAAACGTTGTGGTGCCGTAATCTCTCTGGCTGCTTTTCCAGTGATTCATCCCCAGAAATTCCAGCGGTTTGAGCTTGTGATGGATTTTTGGAAGCTTAGTTCTGTGGCATTTAGGCAGAGCTTAAAGTGGGAGCCTCCTCGCATCCCACATTTGCTATCCCAGTGTTTGCTAAAGCGGAAATCATCCAAAAAAAAGGGGGAATAAGTAACTGGTGTGTTTTCCAGCAAACGTTCCCTTCCCTCGGTGTGGGGCACCTGGAAGTGCTGGAGCCACATTCCTGCCCTTCGTGACTGTGAGGGAATTTGTGCTGAGGGCATGGCTCGGGATTTGTCCCCCGGGATGGGGTTGAGGTGCTGGGCTTGGAACAGGACCTACCTCTTCCTAAAAATCTGACTCTGGGAAGGTTCAGTCCGGTTTGGGATTCTGTCTACTCATCAGACTTTCATTTTGTGGGATCGTGGAATGGCTTGAGTGGGAAGGGAGTGAAAGGATCATCTCCTTCCACCCCGTACCTTCCACAGCCCAGGTTGCTCCAAACCTTATCATTGGACAATTCCAGGGATGGGGCAGCCAATTCCAACACTGTGGAAAGGATGCCCAGGGCAGGGGTGGAGTCCCCATTCCTGCAGGGATTTAGGTTGGACATGAGGGAAAATTCCTGCCTGGAAAGGGTTTCTAGGCCTGGCAGGGGTGGAATCCAATCTCCTCACCCATTTCTTGGTGTTTTCCTTTTGCATTCCTCTCACTCTCCCTTTTCTTTCCCTAATCCCTGTTGGAAGTGTTGTGGTGGGACCGTTCAGCAAGCTCGGCCTCCTGGTTTTCCAGGATCCTGGAATTAGGGATGTGTTGGAGCAGAATCCCCTGAGCTGGCTGGGGGAGTGAATTTGTGCCTGGACTGCTTTGGGAATGACCTGGGATGGAGAAATGAATCCAGGCTTGGAGCAACCTGGGAGAGTGGAGGGTGTCCCTGTGGAACAAGAAGGGCTTTCCAAGCCCAGCCATTCCATGATCCTGTGAAGGAGCAGGAAGCAATCGGAGTGTGGCTGGAAAAGCTGTGGTTCTGGGCTGTGCCTGTTGCTTTTCCAGCCGTGTCCTGCTGCACAGGGATGACATCAGGGCGGAATTTTTGCTTCTCTCTCTAATTTCTGTGACCCCTTTTTAACTCTGGGCGTTCCTGAGCGTTGGGCTCAGCCTTCCCATCTGGAAAACATTGGAGCCAAGCGGGATCTGTGGCTTCAGAGGATCCTGGAGGGTGGGAGAAGGGAGGAAAAGTCAGGCAGCTGGTGTTTGGGGGGTGCTGGGATGGCATTCCGGGAGGGGGAGCAGAGAATCCCAGGGTGGGAGGAATAGAAAGATCATCTCATTCCCAGCCCACACACCTTCCATAGCCCAGGTTATTCCAGCCTGGCCTTGGACACTCCCAGGGGTGGGGCAGCCACAACTTCTCTGGGAATTCTATCCCAGCCCCTCACAACTCTCCCAGCCAGGAGTTCCTGCCCAGTGCTGGAGATAGACTTGGGATGAGGACCTGGAGGGACAGGACACAGGGAATGGCTTCCAACTGGTTTAGATGTGATATTGGGAAGGAATTCCTGGCTAAGAGGGCGGCGAGGGGCTGGGCTGGAATTCCCAGAGAAGCTGTGGCCGCCCCTGGATCCCTGGAAGTGTCCAAGGCCAACTTGGAATAACCTGGTCTCTGGAAGGTGTCCCTGCCCAGGAAACTGGATCCTTCAATCCCTTCCATCCCAGAGCATTCCACACTTATGATAATCCCAGGATTAAACCTGGAATTCTGGGGAGTCCGCTGTGTACCAGACAGCTGGCTCCAGTGGCAATTCCGAGGTTCTGGAGCGCTTTGGGTGTGCTGATCCCAGCCTTCCCTCCCCTGAGTGCTGGACAGGTGCCTTCCCTTCCCACTGCGCTCAGCAGGCCCTGGAATCTCATCCTGCTCCGGGCTCCCGGGGTGTTTTTTTTCCATGTGCTGCTCCACGCCGGAGCTCAGCTGCTCCCAATTACCTTTGATGGCCGCGTTTTTGCCAGGAGAAGGCTCTGGAAGCGCCGACATCTGGTTGGAATTGGGGCCCTCGCAGGTCGGACCGAGGCAGGCGGGGGCCTTTTCCTTCCGGCCCCTTCCAGCCCGCACTGGGAATGCGCTTCCCTGGCTTTTCATCCACCGCCCCCGCGTCCCGCTCCTCTTCCTCTCCCCCCCCCCGGCAACATGTGGCCCAAATTAAGGGACCTGCTGTTGGAAAAGAGCTGGAAACCTGGAGCGGGCCAGGCTGTGGGGCTATTTAGTTTGGGGATTTTTCACTGAAAAGGAGGGAATTTTGCACTGGAATGCGGGGATTTATCCCAAGAGCGGGGACAGCACGGAGCGTGTCCCTCAGGGGGTTGGAAAGGAGGAAAAATAGGATTTAGGGAGTATTTTTTAATTCAGATTGGATTTTTTCTCCCGACTCGTCTGTCCGTGGAGGCACAGCATTCCAGAGGCCTGGGAATGCTCGTGGGCAAAGAAGTTGTGGCACAAAGGGTGGGTGACCAGTGGGAGGATCCAAGGAACAGCTGGAACTGGGGCACGGAATAGGCTGGATTTTGGGATAAGGTTCCTCATGGAGTGGTCAGGCACAGGAACAGGGAAGTGCTCCCGGCACTGGCATTCCAGTAGCCTTTGGACAATGCTCCCAGGTGGGATTTTGGAGTTGTCCTCACGGGGCCAGGAACTGGACTTCATAATCCTTAACTTCCCAGCTGGGTTGGCTTCCCAAACACCTGCCGTTTCACGGTGGATCCCGGAGTCATCTCCCGGTGCTTGGTGATTCCCACCGGAGATGGTGGCTCCTGACCTGTGCAAGTGGGATATTCCACTCCAGCTGATAGGACTTCTCAAGGCTCTTTATCCTTAATTTGGGAAGCTTTGGATCCCCAAGGCACTGGGGTCCATCCAACAGGAGCATCCCGGGATACTCAGTTTGGATGGAAGCAAACCCAGACTCCATTCCCAGGAGTTAAGGGAAAGGTGTTAGGGATTTGCTCCCAAAACGGCTCCAGTGTGGTGGGATTTGATCCGCAATAGCGTGTTTTTCTGGGATCATTCCTCACCATCTCCTCAGACCTCTCGGATGAGTCAGAGGGAGCTGCTAAATTCGGGTTTTCCAGACGGATATTGACGTCCCCTGATCCAGATTTGCCATCAAATGAAGAATGAGGCTGGGATGGATGGATGGAGAACCACAGAATGGTTGGGATTGGGAGGGATTTTAAGGATCAGCATGTTCCACTGGGAAGGGATGCCTCCCACCAGGATGGTCCAAGCTGACCTGGGACAATTCCAGGGATGGGGATGTGCTGAGGAGGCCCTGGCAGATTCCCAAGGAATTCCATCCCTGGGAGTGTCCAAGTCCGTGTTGGAATAACCTGGTCTGTGGAAGGTGTCCTGTCCCTGGAATGAGAGGATCCTTAGAATCTCTTCCACCCTCAACCGTCCTGGAATTCTGTGGTGCCTCCCACCGTCTCTCAGGCTTTTCCAGAGCCTCTTCCCTGTATACCTGACCCTCCCTCTCTGGGATGGGAAGAGCACCTGGAGCCTCATTCCCAAATCCCGGGCAGACAGCAGGATTTGGTGTTCCTTGCCATGCATCCGTGCCTTTAATCCTGAGAAATGGTGGCATGGGAATGGAACTTCCTCTCTCGCGATGCCGGTGCTGTGAGTGGTGTCTCATCCCAGCCGGAATCTCCCGTTCCATGATCCGGGATCTGGTGGGCGCAGAGTTGCCTCTTGATTTACCCATCCAGAGTCTCCAGCTTTCCTGGGATTCGCTTCTGCTTTTCCTTTCATTTGACCCCACCACGGAGCAGCCACCAAAATTCTCAACCCTCCAGATGTGCCACCCGGGATGCACCTCCAGGAACTCCAGTGGGATGTTCCTCCGCATCCCACCCCCTCAGCCCTTCTCTCCCTATTTTCAGGGGGAGTTTCTGAGGAGAGAAGCCCTTCCAGCCACGCTTCCCTGGATTTCTCTTCCCTGTTCTCCGTGAGTGCCGGGAGCGGGCGTGGTGCCAACTCCTGGGAGCCGCTGCCGCTTCAAAATGGAGGCAGGAAGGGATCCATTTTCCTCAAGGAGATGACAGGGTTCAGCCTTCCCGACCATCTGGAGAGCGGGAGCAGCGGGAATCCGGCCCGCGACTGGGGGGATCCAGCCTTCCCATTCCCTGCTCAGCTCAGAGGGAGAGTTCCAGCAGCTGGGCTCCGGTGGCTTAGGGAAAACCGGGAGCGAGGAGCGTTTGGCACCCACTCCCAGCTTTCTGCAGGGATGAATCGAGCCGTTCTGGGGAGAGGCGGAGTTTTCCCCCCAGAGTGTCCCCGCACTGTGTTGGTGGTCTCGTGCTGCTCCAGCTTTTGCAGGCTCCTTGCAAGCTGGATCCCTGGGAATTGCACATCTTGGGATAACGCCGTAATTCCGCATTGCCGGTACCGGTGCAGTCGGGAAATTAACGCGTTCCCAGCCGAAAGCCGGGAATTTTGGAGTGGTATCAGTTGTGTGCCGAAGTGGGTGAAGGCCACATCCCAAAAAAACCTCCTCATTGTTCCCAGTTCCTGTTTATTTTAAGCTCCAGGAGGCTTGAGGAGGAACACATGTCCATCTGCTGCCTAATTGGATTTACAGAACCCAGACTTGGACAAATATTCCCTCTCCAGGCTGGAAAATGTCAGACTGGAGCCGCTTTTGAAGTTGGGAATTGACTTTCCAGTCACACGGGTTTTGCGTTCCAGGGGAATTGGGCAGGGATTTGGCCGGAAAACTGGATTTTGGGGCTAAATGAGGCTTTTTTTTCTCCTCAGGTTTATGCTCCCTCAGCCAGTACTGCCGACTACAACAGGGATTCTCCGGGTTATCCCTCCTCCAAACCAGCAGCCAGCACTTTTCCCAGCTCCTTCTTCATGCAAGGTAGGAAGGAAACAGATTTTCCAGCTTTTTTTTTTTCCAGGCTTATATTTAATTTATCCATAGCTGAGGCATTTTGGGATCACTGCCCTGAAATCCCTATCTCCATATCCCCGTTTCCCTGCATGTGGAATTAGAGCCACAGGGTTAAAATGAGACTGAATCCTGAATTTTTCCTGGTTTTACTGCTTCCAGGTTGTTGTGATTACATGGAAATGCAAAGGAATTTGGGATAAATTAATTACTAACATTCCCAGAGTTGGAAAAGATCCACGTAAAATTCGGCTGCGCAGTTTTTGCCACATTGAGGACAAAAATATCCACTTTTTAAGGATAAGTGTCATAAAGTCATGGAATTATTAAAGTTGAGAAAGCCCTCCAAGGTTATCAAGTCCGACCATCCATGACCACCACTATCCATGTTCCCACATGCCACATCCACATGTTTTTTGGACACTTCCAGGGATTATTCCAGGGCTTGAGCACCCTTTCCATGAAGGAATTTTTTCCTAATCCTTTTCATGTACTATCACCCTAAGAACTCTGAAGCTCATCTGGAATTCCAGAGCTGGAGATTACCAGGATTCTGATGATATATCAAGGATTTACCCTTGGAAGTGTCCAAGGCCAGGCTGGATGGGCTTGGAGCAAACTGGGCTGGTGGGAGGTGTGTGTGCCCGTGGATTAGACGCTGTGGGATGTGCCTTCCAAGGTGAAGCGCTCCCTGATTTCCCTGATTTCTGTCTTGCAGATGGCCACCACAGCAGCGACCCCTGGAGCTCCTCCAGCGGGATGAACCAGCCTGGCTATGGGGGAATGCTGGGCAACTCTTCCCACATTCCCCAATCCAGCAGCTACTGCAGCCTCCACCCGCACGACCGCTTGGTGAGGATCCCGTGGGAAGGGGCAGTGGGATGGGGTGGGGTGGGATGGGATGGGGTGAGATGGAGTGGGGTGGGATGGGATAGGGGCACTTCCCAGAGAATCCATGGCTGCTCCACCCCTGCAAGTGCCCAAGGCCAGGCTGGAGCAGCCTGGGCTGTGGAAAGTGTCCCTGCCCATGGCAAGGGGTGGGAATGAGATGATCCTTAAAATCCCTTCCCACCCAACCCATTTTAGTGCTGGGACACTTCCAAGACTGGGATCTCCAACATGAAGGTGTTGGAGCAGGTCCAGAGGAGGCCACGGGGATGCTCCGAGGGCTGGAGCTCCTCTGCTCTGGAACCAGGCTGGGAGAGCTGGGAATGTCTGCCTGGAGAGGAGAAGGCTCCAGGGAAACCTCACAAACCCTTCCAGGGCCTAAAGGGGTTCCAGGAGAGCTGGAGAGGGACTGGGGAGGAGGACCTGGAGGGACAGGATACAGGGAATGACTTCCCACTGGGTTAGATGGGATACTGGGAAGGAATTCCTGGCTGGAGGTGGGGTGAAGGGCTGGGATGGCATTCCCAGAAAAACTGTGGCTGTCCCATCCCTGCAAGTGTCCAGGCTGGAATAACCTGGTCTATGGAAGGTGTCCCTTCCTATGGGAACAAGATGATCCTTAAAATCCCTTCCAACAACCCTCAGACCACCATGAGCAGCGTCCCAGCCTCTCCGTAATCCCAATGTTCCCTGTTTTTCTCGGCACAGAGCTACCCATCCCACTCCTCAGCTGACATCAACTCCAGTCTTCCTCCAATGTCCACGTTCCACCGCAGCGGGACCAACCACTACAGCGCCTCGTCCTGCACCCCTCCAGCCAACGGCACCGACACCATCCTGGGTGAGCTGGCTCCTCCCAAACTCTGGGAATCACCTGGGGGCACGTCCCGCCACCCCCCGAGAGGGCAAAGCCACCCCTGAGGTCAAATGTCCCCAGATACCCAGGGAATAGTCAAAGGTGGGAAATAAGAACCGCCTGCTGGGTCTCTCTGGGAACGATTCCATAGTTAAGTGACAGGGAAATCAGGACACGTGGTTCGGATTACGCATGTGATTGCAGGCGGGACGGCGGAGCGGGACTAATGCTGGAGGAATGGAGAATGGGGTTTTTTTAGGATCTGAGAACAAAGGAGAAACTAAACCAGGCTCAGAGGCCGAGTTCTCCCAGGGGTTGTGGATTCCTGATCCCTGGGATTGTGCCAGGGTGTGGAGTTGGGCTGGGAGAAGGTGTCCCTGCCCTTGGAACAGGATGAGCCGTGAGCTTCCCAATGTGGAGGAGCTTCCTGGAACCTTACTGCCTCCTGGCTTGGCTTTTCCAGGCTGGAATATCCCTGGTTTTGAGTTTGTCCCCTGAAGGAACCACCCTCTGCCATCCTTTCCTCCTTGAGGGACTTCCCATTCATTCCTGCAGGTGGGGCAGGAAAAGGAATTTTGGAATGTTTTCCCGACTGGATTTACATGGAATTTTTTGCCTTGCAGCCAACAGAGGAAGTGGGGCAGCGGGAAGTTCGCAGACTGGTGATGCCCTGGGGAAAGCACTCGCCTCTGTAAGGAAACATTTACTTTGGAATTCCCATGTTGACCCCTTGGGAAGGGAATTTGAGTCCCAGTTCTCTGTCTGGAGTTGCTGGAGATGAGCAGCAGGTCGCCCCCCTGGAGCCCCTGCCGGCTGGAATAAGGGATAATCAGGGAAAGGGGATACTGGGAAAGCTTTAGAGGGAATTTTAGGGTAGGATAGGAGTGGAAAGAGGGCGGGGCTTGAGCTGTGCCAAGTCCTTCCCACTTTTCCACGGGAGAGGGAGGACAGAACGACTCCTGCACTCCCAGACCGCCCTCCAACAGAATTCCTTTGGAATTCCCCAGAGGTTCTCTCTGTTCCATGGCAACTCCATCTCTCCAGTTCACGTGGTGGCTGTTAAAGGCAGCAGTTCCCATGTTTTTCTGGGATAACTGGACGCAGCACTTCCCAGCTCCTGCTGCCACATTCCCGCCCTGTTCCCGTTATCCCGGTGGCACTGGCTGCCCTTTAACCAGGACCATTCCTATTATTTTCTGGGCACAGTGGGTTCCTTTGAGTTCTCATGACACTCGTTCATAAAATGAAGTCAAGACAACAAAATGGTGTTGGAGCCGATCCCTGAAATCCCAATCCCTGGAGTCCCTTCCCGAGGGACCCGGTGTCCAGCTTTCTCCTCTCCTGTGCCTCAAAGAGCCGAATGGCACAGCCAAGAGGCTTTGAACTCTCCTGGAGTTAATTGACTGGATCGGAAGGAATTTTCTGAGCCTGTCCTGCTTTCATTGAAATGAACGGAATGCATAAGAATTCCAAACTTTTTTTTTCTGGATTGGGTTGTGACAGCTTTATTTAGATTAATTGTGTATCATCTTTTAAAGATCTATTCTCCAGATCACACCAACAACAGCTTTTCATCAAATCCTTCAACTCCTGTTGGTTCTCCCCCTTCTCTCTCAGGTATTGTTATGATTCTATTTTCCGCAACGGTTCCTCCCAAGGTGGGGTTTTTTTTGGGAAGAGATCCCTACCCCAGCTCCGGTGGGGGCACCCGTCCCAAACCGGACTGTCCCGCCTCTGGGGCGGAGGGAAGGTTGTTACAGCTCCCAAGGAAATATCCCAGGTTATCCCTGTGGAGCTTCCTGCACCCTCAGGGACATCCCCCAGGAACGGTGGGGCGATGGTTTGGAGCTAAATCCAGGCAGTTGGATTTTAGGAAGGTTTTTTTAGGATCAGGGAGTATAAAACACTGGCACAGGTTGTCCAGAGGAGCTGGAATTCTCCAGGGCCAGGTTGGACAAGACTTGGAGCAACGTGGGATAGTGGGAGGTGTCCCAGGGTTGGACTAAATGACCTTTAGAAGTCCCTTCCAGCTCAACCTATTCCATGATTTTGTGATCCTGCACTTTATTGGAATGTTTGCATCCTTTCCCCAAATTCTGAGGCCCGGGGTTGTTCTCATGAGCATCAGGTGGTGGAAATATTCCTCAGGCTGGAATTCCCAGTTTTTAATCTGTGAGCCTTTTCCAGCTGACTCCTCCTCTCAGCAGTACATCCCACCTCCCTGGAGAATCCCACTTGGAGCCCAGGTGTAATCCAAGACTCCCTTGGATCCCAGTTAACTCACCAGGAATCCGGAGCCGGGACCACTGTGTCTCTGTAGGGTAGGGAAAAATGGGATCATCCCTTGCTCTCCATGGGGAGCTCCTGATCCTCACAGGTGATATCCCACTTCCCATGCATCGCTACAGGGATGAGACCCTTTGGGAAGGAGGGTTGCTCAGGGCAGGTCCAGGAGAGCACCACCCTCCACCTTCATCCCATAAAATCGAGATGAAACCTGGCCTGGCTTGGGGGGTCCCACAGCACAAAAATCAACTTCCCACCCTTATTTTCCCTGGAATTACCCCTGAATTCAGAAGGGACTGTGCGTCTCCTTCCTTTCCCTACAGAGGGGGCCAAGCCAGAGGGAGAATTCCCTGATAGTTTGGGCTGTGCTGCTTCCCGGTGGGAAATAGGGATAACCCAGGGTCAAACCAGTGTAGAAAATTAGTGAATAGAAGTGGATTGAAGGAAGAGCTGGAATTGTTTCGCATGGAAATTTCCCTCAGGGATAAAAGAGATAAGAAACCATTTGCCACGAGTTCCATCCTGGTCTGACGTTCCAAACAAATCCCACTCTGATGGGAATTCAGACTCCAATCCTGATATTCCCATCTCCATTTTATGGGATCCTTCAGAAGATCCAATAGAACATCAGAAATCATATCCAGCATAATCTGATCAGTCCCCAAAAACCATTGGGGAAAAGAGCGGAAAAGAGCTTTTCCCCAAAATCTATTGGAAAAAGAGCGGAGAAAGCCGCTTTTCCCCAGAAGCCTTTGGGAAAAGAGTGGAGAAAGCTGGTTTTCCCCATTTTTCCTTCACTGTTGGCACAGAGGCCCATCTTTCCTTGGAAAACTCGAAGAGCAGGAATGCCTTTCCTCCCAGCACAGCAAGGCCAAGGTTTGACTCCGAGCGCAGGAGTTGCACCGAAGCCTTTGGCGCTCTGAGGAGCGCCTCGGGAAGCTCCGACTCGGCATAGGCCATTCCCACAGCTCGGAAAAAGCGTCCCAGAAAAGTCGGGAACGTTGCGCTCGCCCAGTTCCAATGGTAACTCCGATTTTACTTATTAGCAGGAACAGCTGTTTGGTCTAGGAATGGAGGTCAAGCGTCATCATCTCCCAATTATGAAGGTCCCTTACACTCCCTGGTATGTTCCAACCGGTGACCTCCTTCCTGCGGGAATTCCTTGCGTTCCTTGGTGTCATGCTTCGTCCCACGTGCCGGTTCCTCCCCCGCAGGTTTCGTGCGCCCGGAGCGGTCCCGGAATTGTTGTCCCACCATGCCTGGTGGAGCTGGGGTGGGGGGGTTTGGAGATGCTCCCAAGAGGGAAAGGGCATGTTGGGATCTGCTGGAAAAAGGGGGTGAGGAGCAGGAAAGAGGGTGAGGAGGGAGACGGGGTGGATGGATGGGTGGATTGATGGATGGATGGATGTATGGATGGATGGATGGGAGTAGGAAAATGCGGCGGATGCAGGATGGTGCATCCATGAGTCCTGTGGGGTGAGGGAGAGGATGATCAGGGATCCCCATGGAATGAGGGAGGGGATGGTCAGGGGTCCCTGTGGAATAAGGGAGATAGTGGTGAGGAATCTCCATGGAATGAGGGAGAGGATGGTCTGGGGTCCCCTGGAGATGGTCAGGGGCTCCCCTGGAATGAGGGAGATGTTGGTCAGGGGTCCTTGGGTGATGGGGCTAATGGTCGTGGTCTTCTCTCCATGGAGTGAGGGAGATGATGGTCAGGGTTCTCTCCATGGGGAATGAGGAAGGTGACGGTCAAGGGTCTTCTCCTCATGGAACGAGGGAGATGACGATCAGGGATCCCCATGGAATGAGGCAGAGGATAGTCCTTGTCCTCTCCCTGTGGAGTGATGGAAGTGATGGTGAGGTCCCCTGGAGTGACAGTGATGATGGTCATGGTCCTGTCCCCATGGACCGAGGGAGGGGATGGTCTCAGTTGGAAGTGTCGGGAAATTTGCTGGAGTCAGAAATTAGGATCCAGAAATCCTTGTGCTGATGGAAACCAGTGTTTTCCAGGCTTTCCTGTGGAGGTTCTGGTGAGCAGGGTATGGCTGGGGGCTTTGCTGAGGAGCTCCAGCAGCTCTGCGTGGTTCCCTTGGCAATTCAGGGTCCTGGGGAGTGTCACAACCCTAGGGATTGTCCTGTTGGGATTCTCCAGCACCTGGAGACTTGGGGAATGTGCTGGTGAGGTTCCTAATCCCTTGGGGACCTTCCTGTTGAGATTCCAGGTTCCTCAGCCCTTGGGGACTTGGGAAGTATCCTGTTGAGGTTCCAGGTTCTCCAGCACTTGGGCCCTGTCCTGTTGAGATTCCTTGGCCCTGGGGGACTTGGGAAGTGCCCTGTTGAAGTTCCCCATCCCTTGGGATCCCTAAAGCTCCAACCTGTAGGGATCAAACCCTCATGGCTGTGGGACCTGGTAGTTCCTCCTCCTCTCCGTGTGTGATCCTGCGATTATTTGGGTGGGGAGGAAAATGGCAACAAAACCTCTTTGTTTCTTTCCTTCTGCTTTTCTTTTTGATTTTGCTTTGGAATTTTCTGGTTTTGAATCCTTCTTTGACGTCGCTCTCACTCCAACTCTGCTGAGACCTGGAGGGCAAACTCTGTCCTGGCCTGATTCATGTTCATGAGGAATCATTGAACCTGTTTTGCCCATGAAAATCAAAGCTGGACTCGTTAACATTCCGTAGGGTTCAACGTTCCCCGGGGCTCAACCTTCCCTAGGGTTCGGCATTCCCTAGAGAAGCAAACCCATTCCTTAAGATAAAAAAAAATCCGAGGGAAACCTAGCAAATCCAGGGCTAACGAGGTCAAAGCACAAGGGGCTGAGCAGGGAGGCCTGACTGTGTCCCGGGGCGAGCTCCTCACGCTGTTCCCACTTTTCCCACCCCACAGCAGAGCCGGATCGAGGACCGGCTGGAGCGGTTGGACGACGCCATCCACGTGCTGAGGAACCACGCGGTGGGAGCCGCCCCCATGGCCGGCGCCCACGGGGACATGCACGGGCTGCTGGGCGCCCACAACGGCGCCATGGCCGGGCTGGGCGCCGGCTACGGCACCGGGCTGCTCTCGGCAAACCGCCACTCCATCATGGTGAGTGCCCCGGGGGCCGCGGGAGCGGGGCGGGAGCGACCCCATGGGAATGGGAGTGGGGCGGGAGGGTGCCATGGGGATGGGACAACCTGGGTGGCATTGGATGATCCCAGGGGAAGCTGCCCCATGGGAATGGGAGAATCCCGGTGGGACAGGAGATCCCACTGGGGTAGGAGAATCCCAGTGGGGCAGGAGCATCCCAGTAAGAGCTGCTCCATGGGAATGGGAGCATCCCAGTTGAACAGGAATATCCCCTTGGGACAGGAGAATCTCAGTGGTGTAGGAACATCCTAGTAGGAGCTGCTCCATGGGAATGGGAGCATCCCAGTGGAATTTTCTGTAGAAAAGAAGGGATTTTTCTGCTGGAGAAAAGGGAAGTTCTGTGGAGAAAAAGGTGGTTTTTTTGGAGAAAAAGGGAGTTTTCTGTCAGAACCCAAGTTTCCTGTGGAAAAAGGCTCCTGAACTTTGCCTTTTCCCTGCTTTCATCTCCCTCGCTGGGTGTTTTTTTTGGTGCTGATTAAATCCTTTCCTTCCCTTTTGATCTTATTTATAGCCCGGTCAGCTCTCATCTGGCAACTATTATGGGATGGCAGCCACATGAAAGGGCCAGGGAAGGGAATCATTTGGAATACACACATCCAGTGGGATGGGATGGATTTGCTTGGGGGGGGTTAAGCCAGGTTCAGCTGGGCTTGGCTTTGGAATCTGGCCTATCTAGGCCCTGGGTTAACACACAACACCTTCCAATTCCCTGCTGGATTTATCCCACAGGATAAAGGACCAAGAAATGTTGCTGTGGTCATCCTGGCATTGGGAAGTTTGGAGGTGGAAGGGGATGGGCTTGGGGGTCCTTCCCAATCCAAACCTGTCTGGGATGAGGGAGCAGCTTTCTAGTGGGAATGTAGTGGCAGTGACCCCCATTCCTCCTGGATTTCCATTCCTCCTGGATTTCCATTCCTCTTGGATCCCAGTTCCTCCTGTCCTCCCTAATTCCTCCTGGTCATTACTTCCTTGCCTCAGCCACCCCTTTTCCTTAGGGAAGGTGGAACCCTGAGCTGAGAGGGATGTATCCCTTTGGATTGGGGATGGGGTGGTTAATAAATCCCTATGGCTGTGTCTCCTGATGTCAGGAATGCAGGGACACTGGGAATGTCAGGAGGCCGAGCCGCCATTCGGAGCATGCTGCCAACTCTCAATTCCCACTGGATTTCCCGGCTCCGGTGGGAAATTGTGGGGCCCCCAATTAAACAGATGGGCCTGGAGATAATTGTCAGCTGTGCTGGAGAGGGGACAGATGGGAAGGAATCCGGGAGGCACCTTGGGAATGGGAATGACATTTTACCTGCCAGAGTGTCTGTCACGGCCACGGACCATCTGTGCCCTCTGTGAGGAGCATCCCGGGATTGGGGCTCATCCCGAGTGATCTGGGGGCTTGGGCTTCCTGGGATTTCCCTTTTTGGGAAGTTTAGAGCTACATTTTATCATTTATTGTGGCTGCCCCAGCCCAAGGCCAGGTGTGACAGGGCTTGGAGCAACCTGGGATAGTGGAAGGTGTCCCTGCCCGTGGCAGGGGGTGGAATGGGATGATCCTTAAAAATCCCTTCCAACCCAAACCATTCCAGGATTCCATGATTTAAACCCAGTGCCTTTGGCACCTCCAACCACCCTCAGTGGTGGAGAAGGGCGGGTTCTCCCAAATCCCTTTGGGATTAAAGCTCTGGGAGAGGCTGCCCAGGGCAGGGGTGGAATCCCCATTCCTGGAGGGATTTCAAATCCATATGGATGGGGCACTTGGGGATACAGGTTGGTGTTGGACTCCATGGCCTTAGAGGCCTTTTCTAACTCAATAATCCCCCATTCCAACAATAAGCTTTGGCTAAACGGCTCAGAATTCCCCCCTCGCCAAACCTCCCCACCAAACCCTTACTCCTCCAATCCTGAGCAGAATTGCACACCCGTTTGGTGGGCGAGGAACAGCGAGTGTCCCGGGGGTTTTCCTGAGCCCGCGGGCAGAGTGCCGGGGGTGTGCTGAGCGTTCCCCGTGTCCCGCAGGTGGGAGCGCACCGGGAGGATGGGGTAAGCCTCCGTGGGAGCCACTCGCTCGTGCCCAACCAGGTGCCTGTCCCGCAGCTTCCCGTCCAGTCGGCCACGTCCCCGGACCTGAACCCACCCCAGGATCCCTACAGGGGTGAGTGGACATTCCCGCATCCCTGTTGGAATTGTTGTGCTCTGGCGGGACCATTCGGTGAGCTCGGCCTCCTGGTTGTCCAGGATCCGGGAATTTGAGGGTGGCTTGGAGTTGAATCCACCTGCGGGCTCTTGGAATGGGCTGGGATGGGTAAGGGCTTGGAGCAACCTGGTCTTGTGGAAGATGTCACAGCCCATGGAAGAAGGGTTAGAATGAGGATCCTTCAAATCCTTTCCAAGCCAAACTGACCAGGTTGGAGCAACCTGGGCCAGTGGGAGGTACCCCTGCCCATAGCAGAGATTTGGAATGAGATGATTCATAAAAACCCTTCCATCCCAACCCAAGGGCTGTTTGAAGCTCTCCCTGACCTGCCCTCCCCGTTTTCCTGCAGGAATCCCGACGGGACTGCAAGGCCAGAGCGTCTCGTCGGGCAGCTCTGAGATCAAATCCGACGACGAGGGCGACGAGAACCTCCAGGACACCAAGTCTTCGGAGGACAAGAAACTGGAGGATGACAAGAAGGATATCAAATCCATTACTAGGTCAAGATCTAGGTAACGGGAGAAAGAGTGTCGCTTCATTTAATTCCTGCGTGGATTTCGATGAAGTGAACGGAACAGGCGGAATCGTGGAGCGCCTGGCCCAGCAGGACCCGCCACTTTTGGGGGACCTGCGATCCGGGACGGCCTCCCTTTCCAACAATTCCCAAATTTGTCCACTGACAGATTATATTAGGCCAAAATCAATTGATTAGACTCTTAGCCCTCTTGTCCTGCGCTTCCAAATTGGAATACAGTTGGATTTGCTTTGCTTTGATGTATTATTTGTCATTCCCAGTCCTTGGTTGCTGTAAATTCCGAGGGTTTGGAGCCTTAGTAAATTCTGTATGGATTTTTTAGAAGTTTTAGCTGGGTTTTATCGTTGACTGTGGCTGCCCAATCCCTAGAATGTGCAAGGCCAGGTGGAACAGGGCTTGGAGCAACCTGGGATAGTGGAAGTGTCCCTTCCCATGGCGTTGGAACGGGATGAGCTTTAAACTCCCTCCCAGCCCAAATCATTCCAGGATTCCATGATTTAAACCCAGTGCCTTTGGCACCTCCAACCGCCCTCAGTGGCGGAGAAGGGTTCTCCTGAATCCCTTTGGGATTAAAGCCCTGGGAGAGGCCACCCAGGGCAGAGATGGAATCCCCATTCCTGGAGGGATTTCAGATCCATGTGGATGTGGTACTTGGGGACACGGGTTGGTCTTGGACTCCATGGCCTTAGAGGCCTTTTCTAACTTAATAATCCCCCACTCCAACAATAAGCTTTGGCTAAACGGCTCAGAATTCCCCCCTCACCAAACCTCCCCACCAAACCCTTCCTCCTCAAATTCCTGGCCACAGCTCTGGTTGGAAATGCCGTGTCCCTTCCGTCCCACAGCAATAACGACGACGAGGACCTGACCCCCGAGCAGAAGGCGGAGCGGGAGAAGGAGCGGCGCATGGCCAACAACGCGCGGGAGCGGCTGCGCGTGCGCGACATCAACGAGGCCTTCAAGGAACTGGGCCGCATGGTGCAACTCCACCTCAAGAGCGACAAGCCCCAGACCAAACTCCTCATCCTCCACCAGGCTGTCGCCGTCATCCTCAGCCTGGAGCAGCAGGTCCGAGGTCAGTCCCAGGGCAGCGCTCGGGTGCAACACCGTCCGTGAGGAACTGCGGGAGCGGTGGGACTCAGGGGGCTTGTCCCACCTCAGGGGGCTGAGAATAGGGGTGGTTGAGTTCCAGGAGCTGGAAATTGGTATGTTGGAGTTCCGTGAAGTGAAAATAGATATATTGGAGCTCCATGAGCTGAAAATAGATATGTTGGAGCTCCGTGATCCGAAAATGGGGATGTTTGACATCTCCTGTCCCTCCTAGAACGGAATCTGAATCCAAAGGCCGCGTGCCTGAAAAGAAGGGAAGAAGAGAAGGTCTCCTCGGATCCGCCCCCGCTGTCCCTGGCAGGGCCCCACCCTGGGATGGGAGATGCCTCCAATCACATGGGACAGATGTAAAAAGGTAAGATTGGGATCAGTCACCTCCAGAATGGACCGTTCCCGGGTGTTCTGCATGGGGAGGGATCATGGAATCATGAAATTAATGTCCTGAGTTGGAGGTGACCACAAGGATCATCCAGTCCAACTCCTGGCCCCTGGACAACCCCAAAATCCCACCATGTCCACAAGCTCCTGGATTTCCTGGGAATGGGGATTGCAGTGTCCAGCAACCCTCTGGATGAAGATCCTTTCCCTAAATTCCAACCTAACTCCCCCACCTTGGTGCAGCTCCAGGATGTTCCTGTGGGTCCCTTTGCTGGGCACCCGAGGGAATGCTGGGAATTGGGTCAGGAGAGGGCGAAGTTGGATATGGGAAATGGATATTAGGGTTGGAATTAGGGATGGATATTACTGTTGGGTATTGGGAATGGATATTAGGGATGGATTACTGGGGTTGGATATCAGTGCTGGAAATAAGGGATGGATATTATTGTTGGATATTGGAGTTGGATAATAGGATTGGATATTAAGGATGGATATCAGGGCTGAAAATTAGGGATGGATATTAATGTTGGATTTTGGGATTGGGTAGTAGTATTGGATATTAGGGATGGATATTGGGATTGGATATCAGGGCTGGATATCAGGGCTGGAAATTAGGGATGGATATTAATGTTGGATTTTGGGGTTGGATACTAGTACTGGATATTAGGGATGGATATTACTGGATATTTGGGTTCAGTATCAGCACTGCATATTAGGGGTGGAAATGAGGGATGGATATTACTGTTGGATGTCAGGTTTGGATATGAGGGGTGGATATTGACTTTAGATATTGTGGTTGAATATCAGGGTTGGAGATCAGGGTTGGATATCAGGGATGGATTTTAGGGTTGGATAATAGGACTGTAATTAGGGTGGATATTACTGTTGGATATTAGGGCTGGAAATGAGGGTTGGATATTAGGGGTGGGATTAGGGATGGACAGTAATGCATAATTGGGATGGATATCAGGGTTGAAATCAAGGTTGGATATTTGGGATGCTCTGCCTCTTCTCAAGTGACTTTTGGGGCCCTCAATTCGCAGGGCAGTTTCCCAGGAAGGGGGTGGACCAAACCCTTCCTTTCCCACCTCTGACAGGCCCTTTCCCTTCTCCCACAGGTCCGAGTCGCCGCATTCCTGCCTGGAAAAGCGAGAGACCACTTCCTTATCCGCTGTATTTCTCTTAAATTCCCACATAAACACTTCTCCTTGCGAAACCCCTTTGTTTTGTAAAGATAAGACAAGTCTGAGCAGTTCTGAATCCCAGACGCAAAAAGAGATTCCAGCATTCCCGAGGGAAAAAAACAAACAAACAAACAAAAAAAAACCCACGGAACCCAACGAGAAAAAAACGAAACAAAAAAAGTGCAACTTCTGGAGGGATGACTCTCTTTGAACATATCAAGCAGAATGTCCAACTTGGAATTCCGAGACTGAATGGCAATCTTTTTCCACACTGTGGGACAATGCATTTGTGCCTAAAATTCCTTGGGTTTTTTTGGGTTTTTTGGGTTTGGTTGGCTTTTTTTTGGTTTCGTTTTTGTTTTATTTTTTGGTGGGTTTTCAGTGGTTTTTTTTTTTTATTTGGACAAAAAAAGAAAAGCAAAAAAGGGAAAAAAAACTTTAAAAAAAAAAGAAAAAAAAAACAAAGAATTTGTAAAAGCCTGAGGATTAAAAAAAAAAATATTTAATTTAAAAACAAACAAAAAACCACAAAAAAAGGTAAACTTGCAATAATGATAAAAAGTGTACTTCTGAAGAGGGGAAAATGAGACAAACAAAACTAAGGGAAAACGACGGAAAATGAGGTGGGTTTTTTTTTGTTTTTGTTTTGAGGGGTTGGTGTTTCTGCTCGTTATCCTCTGGGATGACAGATTCCCGAAATATTCCCAAAACCAGCGAAAACATCCCGACAAAACGAAACAGAAGAAAAAAAAATAGGACCTGAGAATTTTAGCCATTCCTTAGGGTAGGAGAAACAGATGGATCTTATAGACCTATGACAAATATATATATATAAATATATATATAAATCTATATGAGAAATTTAGTGCAGATGATGGGTAAGGTTTTGTTCCTTCCATTCTGAACTTTTTTTTTTTTTTGGCTCCTGTAAAAAGATTAAAAAAAAAAAAAAAAGGAAAAAAACCCATGACAAAATGACAAAAAAAAAGGAGAATAGGATTAACTTTTTTAAGAAAAAAAAGACGAAAAAAGAGCTTTTCCTGTAAATATGGAATTTTTGGGGGGCTTCCCCCTCTTTTCCTTGTTTTTTTTATTATTGTTATATTTGGGTTTTCCCCCCTGTTTTCCTGGAGCCCGGAGTGCCGACTCCGCGCCGAGCGGGTGGACCCGCTGGCCCTGCCGTTGCTTCTTATCCATAACAAATTCCCTGGGACTTTTTTTGGTGGGGGGAGGGTGGTGGGAAATTTAAACAAACAAACAAAAAAAACCAAACAAACAAAAACAAAACAAAACAGCCGGATTTGGGCCCTGTTTTTTTCTGGGATTTTCCGAGGTGCAAGGTTAGGATGCTACAATGTTACCACTGTGCCTTCCAATGTTTCTCCATCGGCAGAACATCCCATCCTCCGAGTGGCTGATTCCGCGTTCCCTCTGTGTGTAGCAATTCCAGGGGCTGGGGGGGAGTGGGGGAAATTCCACGGAGTGGGATGGATTGACTCCATGTGCGGACTTTTTCACCCCCCGCTGTCGTTTTCCTTGTTTCCGAGTGGATTTTTCCCCCCCAAGCGCCTCATTTTTGTTGTTGTATTGTTGGTTTTTTTTTTTTTCTTCTGTGGGAAATGCCAATTTTTTGGGGTCCTTACGAGCCTTATGAGTCCTAAAAGCATTAAGTTGCACTTTGTCCAGGAGGGGGTTGATTCCCGGAATTCTCTGGCCAGTACAAAGGAAGTTTTTCCCGACCACGCCACCGGTGGCGCCACAGCTCCGAAGTCTCGGCACGACCCGACTTCCAGAGTGACTCCCAATCCCGAGTGACTTTGGTGTACAAAACCAAGCCAGTGCTCATTAAATATTTATCAGCATCCCTTTCCGTCTCCAATCCCATTTTTTTTCCAGCCTGGCGTGGCTTCCCACTACAACCCCCCCTGCCTCCCCCCTCCTCCCCCCTTGTCCAAGTCGAATTCCCGCTGAATAAACGCCATAAATCCATCCCCAAAACGGTCTAAACGCTCCATCTGTTCTCCTGGTTTGCCAGTTTTCCAGAGGCCTGGGAACAAAAAAAAATCCAACCACAGACAAAAAGAGAGACGTTTGTACATTTTATGCAACAAAACCCGGCCTGGCCGGCTCGTTATTTTGGAATTGTGTATGTAAAAGTTCTATTTTTCCATGTAGACTCGTTATTCCGTGTTTTCCTACGTTGTGTCGGGGTCAGGGCATCGTTGCGGTGGTTTTTTTTTTCCAGTGTATTAAATTCTGGGTGGTTGAATGAACGAAAAAGAATCCCAGGGAGTGTCCTTGAAGGGGAAAAAGAAGTGGAATTTTCCTGTTCTGAGAAAAACCGGGAAGAACAAACCGAATTCCCCACGTGCTCCCAGAGAATCCGTTCAGGAAACTTCCGGCTTTCAAGGTGTCGATAAGTTGCCAAAATGTGGAGGTGGAGTCAACCGGGGGAAAACTAAGCCCGGGCTTAAATCCAGGTGGGAATACGGCGGGACTCGGAGTCGGGCTTGGCTGAGGGGGAGTGAGAACTCTGGAATTCCGGAGCTGGCAGGAGCATGATGCCAAGGAACACGAGCCATAAATTCCATTTCCCAGGAAATCTCAGCCCCGTTGGATCACACTGGATTGGGGTGTCCAAGCGCATCACTCTGCCAGGATCAGGTTCAGCAGGAAATGGAGATTCCAAGGATTGAAATGCTGGAAAACCCCAACTTGATGTTTGTTAAACTCCATTTCTGGATGGAAAGAAATGAGGAATTTTGGATAAAGAAACAAGGAATTTTGTTCCCGGAACTGGAAAAGCAAGGGAAAGGTTTCCTTGTTCCGTGTATCCGGGATGCTCCCTCAGCCAGCCTGGATGGAAGAGCCGAAGATCCCACTCCGGATGAGCCAAGATTTAACAAAACCACCCCCCGTGAGTGTCTGATCTGTGATTTGTCCTTGTTTTCCCAGCCCAGGGAAGGCCTGCACGTCGTTCTCTGAAGCTGTGGAGGTTTTTATTCCCTGTGGGAATAAAACCAGGTTGAAAACTCCCTGAGGAAAGGCAAAATCTCAATTTTTTTTTAGCAGCTTTTCCCCCACCCAGATCCACCTCCACATGTCAGGAATTTTTGGATCTGCTGGATCAGGAATGTTCAGCTGAAGCTTCCGAACCGCTGAGTTGCGAGAATGCTCCGAGTGCCAGCGAGGGAACTTGTAGTGATTCAGTCTTCCGAGGTTTTTTTGGAATTGTTTTCCAGGATTTCAGGGGGCGGGAGGGAGGGAAGGTGCTGGAAAGGGCGATCAGGGAGAAATGATCCATATCCACACTCCAAATCTGACCAGTGCCAGGAACAAGGAGATTTTGGTGGAAAGAAGCACAAACTTCAGAGATTAAAAAAAAAAGGCAACAAAATTAAAAAAAAAAAAAAAAGTGGGGGGAAATATTGAAAAAACACAGATGAAAAAAATCAGGAAAATTCCAACTTTTCCACTGGCTTACCAGAAAAAAAAACAAAAAAAACCACAAAAAAAACCTTGGAGGTGGAATAGTGTGGAATTCTAACACAGTGGGGCCTGGGAAGGCTCAAGTGTTTTGGTTCATTTCTGACTTTTTGGGTTGGTTTTGTTTGATTTTGGGGTTTTTTTTTTCCTGGAAAAAAACCCACTTTTTTGGTTGTGGTTTTTTTTTTCCTTGTTTTTTTGTTTTTCCTCCGGGACTTGAAGTCGCCTCATGTTCGTGCAGTGCTGGGCGTGGCCCCTCCTCATTTTCGAGTATTTTAGCCCTTCTGTAATGGTGAGAAATGATGATGAACTGTGGCCTTTTTTCCTTCTTGTTACTTGTGATGCAATTTCGGTGAAAAAAAAAGAAGAATTAAAAAAAAAAAGTGAAAAAAAAAGGCTGAAAAGCCTAAAAAAAAACCACACAAAAAAAGCGAGAGGTTTTACCATGTATCAGTGCCTGGCTTTTTGTTATAAAGCTTCGTTTGTCTAGTGCTCTTTTGGAATAAAATAGACGTAGGACACCCTTGTAGGATGGAAAAACTAGAGAATCCACCTCAGTTTACTGACAAGAAAAAAATAAATATATTTGGCTTATTTTTCACAGGAGCGATTGCCTTTTATACCAGGGAAAAAAAAAGAGAAATAAGGAGAGAGAAGAAAAAAATAAGGAAAAAATATAAGGGGAAAAAATAGGGGAAAAGATAAGAGAAAGAAAAGGGGGGGAAGGGATAAAAGAGAAAAAATATAAGGAAAAAATAAGGGAAAATGAGAAAAAATGAGGGAAAAAAGAAAAAAAACAAGCGAAAAATAAGACAAAAGGGGAAGAAATAAGGGAAAAAATATAAGGGAAAAAATAAAAAATAAGGTAAAAATAGGGGAAAAATAGGGGAAAAGGGAAAAATATAAGGAAAAAGCAGAAAGGAGGAAAAATAAGAGAAAAATAACTAAAGGGGAAAAATAAGGGGGGAAGGGGGGGAGAAAAAGGGAAAAAATAAGGGGAAAAATAGGAAAAAAAGGGGAAAAGAAGGGGGAAAATATAAGGGATAAAAGGAGGGAAAGGGGAAAAAAGGATAAAATAAATATATGAGGAAAAAAGAAAGGGAAAAATGAGAAAAAGGGGGAAAAAGGAAAACTATATAAGGGAAAATATAAGGAAAAAATAAAGGGAAATAAGGGAAAAAATGAGGGGGAAAATAAAAAATACAAGGGAGAAAATAATAAGAAAAAATAAGGGAGAAAATAGGAAAAAATAAGGGGGAAAAAAGAGGAAAACGAGAAAAATAAGGGAAAAAATAAAAAGGAAAAGGAAAAATATAAGGGAAAAATAGAAAAAATTTGGAAAAAGGGGGAAGTATAAGAAAAAAAACGGGAATAAATATAAGGGAAAATAAAGGAAAAAAAAGATAAAAAGGGGGGAAGAGAAGAAAATAAGGGAGAAGAAAATAAGAAAAAACAAGGGGGAAGAAAATATAAGGAAAAAAAGGGGGAAAGGGAGAAATAAGGGAAAATTAAAAGAAAAAAGAGAAAATAATAAGGGGGAAAAGTATAAGGGAAAATAGGGGGGAAAATATAAGGAAAAAATAGGTGAAATAAATAAGGGGGAAAATAACAAAAAAATAGAGAAAAAAATAGGGAATAAAAAGGGAATGAATAAAAGAGGAAACAAAATAGGGAAAAAGGAGACAAAATGGGGAAAAGTATTGAAAGAATGGAGAAAAATGTAGAAAAAAGGGGGAACTGGGAAAAAAGGAGGGGAAAATGGGGAAAAGAGAAAAAGAAAAATGAAAAAAGGGGGAAATTGAGAAAATGGGGGCAGGAGGGAAAATGGGGGGAAATGATGCGGGGTCTGCTAAGAAAAGTGGGGTCAAAAGAGCAGAACCTGGGTCTGTGAGTGTGGGAGAAACAAGGAAGAGAGCAATGCACGGGTCATGCTCTGTCTCCAGGAGGGAGGGCAACAGGAGGCCATGGACTAAAACACCAAAGTGCTGTTCCCTAGGGAGCCCCTGCACAGCACTGAACTTTCTGCACTTGCTGTCCCTTTCCCAGCAGAGCCAAAGCGTCAGGTGCAGGTGCTGGGGACATGGAACTGGCAAGGACAAACTGGGAGGGTGTTTGCAAAGAAGGGGGTAGAAGGAACTTTTGACGTGCTTTCTTTACTTGTTCATCCCACAGCACTGGCACGAGAGGAAATACCTCAGAGGGGCTCGCCTCCAGCTAAGCTCTGAATATCTCAGGAGGTTTCAGCGGGGAGAAAAGAGCAGTGGAAGAAAAGCACCCTAAACAGTAGCCAGTGGGGATCATCGGGTTTTGCAGCCAAGAAAAACAAGGACAGAGATGAGGGAATCGGTTTCCAATTAATAATGATTTGATAGGTGTACGAATCATTGCCGGCCGTTTACAGTTCCCGCCCCCCAGCTCGCACCGCCTCTGCCCGCGCCCCCATGCCACGCGCCCACCTGAGGAGCCAACAGCCATTCTGTCCCCTCCCATGAGGGACAGCGTCAGGTGTGCCCAGTGAGGATGAGGAGGTGCGGGACAGCCTCAGGTGTGACCAGGTCTACCCGTTGGACTTGATCACCAGGTCTATCTTTTAAATGCAGACACCAAATCTACCCCCCCAAAAGAGACTAGGTCTACCCTTTGGACACAGACACCAGGTCTACCGTTTCGACAGAGACACCCGGTCTACCCTCTTAAAAGAGACCAGATCTACCCCTTAGAGAAAGACACCAGGTCTACGCCCTAAAAGAGAACAGGTCTACCTCTCAGACTCAGACACCAGGTCTATCTGCCTAAAAGAGACCAGGTCTACCTTTTCGAGACGGACACCAGGTCTACCCTTATAAAAGAGATCAGGTCTACCGTTTCGAAAGAGACAACAGGTCTACCCTCCTAAAAGAGACCAAGTCTACCTCTCCAACCCGGACACCAGGTCTACCCTTATAAAAGAGATCAGGTCTACCCTTTCGACAGCGCCACCAGGTCTCCCCCCTAAAAGAGACCAGGTCTACCCGTCCGACTCGGACACCAGGTCTACCGGCCCCTGAGGGAACGGGGGCGGGGCAGCGCGGAGGGGCCGGGCCGGGCTGGGCGGGCAGAGCGGGCGGGGCCATCCCGGTGCAGCCTGTCCTGCAGCCCCCCGGGGGATGTCCCTGCAGCAGTGCAAGGGGTGCGGGGAGCGCAGCAGGTGCAGCGAGCTGGGGCGGGGCTGCGACCCGGGACAGTGTGCATAATCCCCCAAAACCCGCACCTAAATCGAGCCCAAAAGGACCCCAAAGCCCAGAGCCAAACGCGGCGGGATGGTGCTGGCCCCGCCCCCCTGCACGCACTGGCCCCGCCCCCTGGCCGCCCGGCCCGTCCCTGCCCGTCTCCGAGAACGCCGCTGTCCCCGCAGGCTCCGCCGCCGCTCCCCCTTCCCCTTGTCCCGGGAGAGCTCCCGCCGCCTTTCCCTGGTCCCAGCAGCGCCCGCCGGGGCTGCGGCGGCGGCGGCGGGAGCCGCGCGGAGGGGCCGGGCCGGGCCGGGCGAGCAGAGCGAGCGGGGCGGGGCCGCAGGGACAGCGCGGGCTGCGATTGGACGGATGCGCTCC